TTGGAAATGTTTTCACCAAATCTGTGAATTGTCTTTTCATTAATTTTTTTAATTTTGATAAAGTCTAATTTATCAAATTTTAAGCAGGTTGTGTTTTTGTTGTCAGATATAAGAAATCTTTGGCTGGGAGTGGTGGCTCATGCCTGTAATGCCAGCACTTTGGAAGGCAGAGGTGGGTGGATCACCTGAAGTCAGGAGTTGGAGACCAGCCTGACCAACATGGAGAAACCCCATCTCTAGTAAAAATACAAAAAAATTATCTGGGCATGGAGGCACATTCCTATAATCCCAGCTACTCAGGAGGCTGAGGCAGGAGAATCACTTGAACCTGGGAGGTGGAGGTTGTGGTGAGCCAAGATTGTGCCATTGCACTTCAGCCTGGGCAACAAAAGTGAAACTACATCTCAAAAAAAAAAAAGAAAGAAAGAAAGAAAAAAGAAATCTTTGCCAAAACCAAAACCACAAATTTTTTTCCTATGTTTTCTTCTGAAAGTTTTATAGTTTCAGATTTAAAAGTTAGTTTAGGTTACATTTTTTGTTTGCTTGTTTGTTTTTTGAGACACAGTCTCTCTCTGTTGCCCAGGATGGAGTGCAGTGGCGAAATATTGGCTCAGTGCAACCTCCGCCTCCCAAGTTCAAGCAATTCTCCTGCCTCAGCCTTCTGAGTATCTGGAACTACAGGCATGGGCCACCACTCCTGGCTAATTTTTATATTTTTAGTAGAGACTCCATGTTGGCAAGGCTGGTCTTGAACTCCTGACCTCAGGAGATCAGCCCACCTCAGCCTCCCAAAGTGCTGGAATTAGAGGTAGGAGCCACTGTGCCTGGCCTAGGTTGTGTTTTGAGTTCATTTTTGTATATGGTGCAATGTGTGAGTCAAGTTTCATTCTTTTGCATACAAATGTTCAATTGTTCTAGAATTATTTGTTTAAAAGATGGTCCTTCTATATTGAGTTATATTGTAACTTCAATGAAAATAAATTAAGTATATATACATGAGAGTCTATTTTAGTTCCACTGATCTATTTGTATACCCTTTGCCAATTCTGCACTGTCTTGATTATCATAGCTTTAAAGTAAGTCTTCAAATCAGACAGTGAGAATACTCCAGTGTTTGTTCTTTTTTTAAAGATATTTTGGCTCTTCTAGGTCTATTGCCTTTTCATATAAATTTTAGAATCAACTTGTTGATTTTTATAAACACTCCTGCTGAGATTTTGATCAAGATTCTATTAAATCCCAATTTTCAAAATGATTGACAATTTAACCATATTGAGTCTTCCAATTCATGAACATAGTATATCTCTCCATTGGGGTCTTCTTTGATTTCTCTCATTAGTGTTTTTCAGTTTCAACATAATGATATCGTACATGTTTTATTAAATTTACACATAAGCATTTTATAGGTTTTGGTGCTATGGTAAATGGTATTGTTTCTTTTCTGATTTCAATTTCAAATGATTCATTTCTGGTACATGAGAATTATAATTACTTCTTTGTATATTGACCTTATATGTTATGACATTGCTACACTTGTTTTTGTTTGTTTGTTTGTTTGTTTGTTTGTTTGTTTGTTTGTTTGTTTAGAGATGGGGTCACTGTTGCCCAGGCTGGAGTACAGTGATGCAATCAGAGCTCACTGCAGCCTTGAACTCCAGGAGTTAAGCGATCCTCCCACCTCAGTCTCCCAAGTAGCTTGTATTACAGGCATGAGCCACTGAACTTGACAAAATGAGCTCTGTCTAAGAAAGCTGAGTCTGGAGCAATAGACCCAGAGTAAGCCAGTCTCAAAGGTGACCAGAAGCAGTGGGCTACTTTTTAAAAATTATTAGTATTATTATTAGAGAAAGAACCTTACACTGTTGCCCAGACTGGTCTCAAACACCTAAGTTCAAATGATTCTCCCACCCCAGCCTGTTGAGTAGCTGAGACTTCAGTTGCACACTACCATGCCTGCCACACTTATTAATTCAAATAACTTTTTCGTAGATATTTTGAGATTTTCTGTATAGACTGTCATATTGAGTGCAAATAGAAGCCATTTCATTTCTTCCTCTCCAATTTGTATATTTTTTATTCTTTTTCTTGCCTTATTCTACTGGCTAGACTTTCCAGTACAATAATAACCCTGCATACCTTTGCTTTTTTTCTGATCTTGGAAAATATTTAGTATTTCATCATTAATTATGATATTAACTGTAGGGTTTTTGTAGATGCCTTTCATAAGGTTGAAGAAGCTCCCTTCTCTTACTGGTTTTCTGAGAGGTTTTATTTATGACTAGATGTTGAATTTTGTCAAATGCTTTTTTGTTTTTACATCTATTAAGATAATCACGGTTTTTCTTTTTTAATCTGTTGGTATGACAAATTACATTAATTCCTTTTTGTTCTTTTCTGAGGCAAGATCTCTCTCTGTCACTCAGTATGGAGTGAAATGGCACAAACACAGCTCACTGCACCTCAATCTCCTGAGCTCAAGTAATCCTTCTGCTCCAGCTTCCCATATAGCCGGGACCATAGGCGTGCTCCCCTACCCACATTATTTTTGTTTTTATCTTTTTGTAGAGATGGGGGTCTCACTTTGTTGCCCAGGCTGGTCTCCAACTCCTGGGCTCAAATGATCCTCCCACCTCAGCCCCCAAAAGTGCTGGGATTAGAGTCACCATACCTGGCCTGACTTTTTTTTTTTTTTAAGACAGGGTCTTGTTCTGTTGCCCAAGCTGGAGTGCAGTGGTGTGATCATGACTCACTGCAGCCTCAACCTCCCCAGGTTCAGATGATCCTCCCACCCCAGCCTCCTGAGTAACTGGGACTAAAGGTGTGCATCACCATACCCAGCTAAGTTTTTTATTTTTTGTAGAGACATGGTTTCACAGTGTTGCCCAGGCTGGTCTCCAACTCTTGGGCTCAAGGGATCCACCCACATCAGCCTCCCAGTGCTGGGACTATAGACATGAGGCACTGCACCCAGCCCTGATTGTTTTTTGAATATTGAACCAGACTTGCATCCTTGCATGAACCCCATGGGTCAGATGTGTTATCCTTTTCATATTGTTGGAAACAGATGATCCGTGCAGCAAAGAAAAATTAGCACTGAGACAAAGGATCTCGCAGCAAGCAGTTTTTACTTCCTGTAGGAAGGGTACTCTCTCTAGCCATCTTGCCACAAGAGTACAATGAACAAAGGAAAAGCAGACATATTTATCCCTTACACGTTTGGGGTCGTCCTTACTGCTGTGTCTGATCTCCATTGGCTGGAGCCAGACTCACAATCTAAAGTAAAACCTGATTGGCCAATAACTCAAAACTTTTCTAAACAGGTAAAAGCAATAGAGAGCTGGGACATGCTTGTGAGTTAAAGTACAAGGACGTAGAATGTACTACGTGCCTGTAAGCAGGGCATGTCTAACAGCTACATAGGATAGGGCTTAACAAAGTTATTAGCACACTTATGATTCATTCTTTAACAAAAAAGAAACTTTGAAGAGGGACTTTTACTTCCCACACATATATTGCTAGATTTGATTTGGTAATATTTTAGCGACGATGTATGTGTCTTTGTTCATGGGGAATATTGCTCTACAGCTTTCTTTTCTTGCAATGTCGGGTTTTGATGTCAACATAATGTTGACCTCATAAAAAGGGTTGTTGATTTTCCCTCCTCTTCTGTTTTCCGGAATAGACTGTGTCGAGCTGGCATTAATTTCTTCGTAAGCATTGGTAGAATTCACCAGCAACGTCATCTAGGCCTGGAGCTTGTTCCCGCTCTTTTTAGGTTTCAACAGGAAATTGAATTTCTTTAACATATCCGGTACCATCTATTTCTTCTTGAGTGAACTTTGATAACTGTCTTTAAAGGAATTTGTTCATTTTTTTCTAAGTTGTAAAATATGTGAACATAAAATTGTTTGTCACATTCTTTTTGTTTATTTAGAGACAGGGTCTCGCTCTGTCACTCAGGCTGGAGCGCAGTGGTGCAATCACAGCTCACCGCAGGCTAACTCCTGGGCTCAAGCAATCCTCCCACCTTAGCCTACCGAGTAGCTGGGATTACAGGCCCACACAAGCACGCCCAGCCATCCGTTTGTTTGTTTATTGTAGGAAGTCTTCTTGCAGTGTTCCCTATCTCATCATCTACCTAACTGCAAAAACCAGAAACCTCGAACCCTCACCCCCAAATCTAGTCTGTCCCTTCGTTAGTCAATGTGATCGCTTTACACTGTCTATCCCATCGACTTTCCTACGGCAGCTGCCATCCCCACCAGCACCAGCACCAGCCTCTTCACCCACATCACTGCCTCTGTGGCCTTCTGACCATTCTGCCCACGTGCGCGCCAGCAACTCTCCTATCTGCTCTATGGAGGGGAGCTGGAATGCACTTTCCAAAGGTCACAAGCCCGATTGCATCATCCCACTGCTTAAAACACTTCAATTTTTTTTTTTTTTTTTTTTTTTTTTTTTGAGACAGTCTTGCTCTATGGCCAGGCTGGAATGCAATGGCATGATCTCAGTTCACTGCAACCTCTGCCTCCCAGGTTCAAGCAATTCTCCTGCCTCAACCTCCTGAGTAGCTGGGACTACAGGTGTGTGCCACCATGACCCGCTAATTTTTGTATTTTTTGGTAGATATGGGGTTCCTCCATGTTGGCCAGGATGGTCTCGGCCTCTTTACCTCATGATGATCCACCCACCTCAGTCCCAGAAGAGTGCTGAGGTAACAGGCGTGAGCCACTGCGGCCAGACAAAATTCTTCAAATATTTCCTATTTTTTTTTTTATTAATACAAACTTTCTTTTTTTTTTCTTTTCTTTTTCTTTGAGACAGGATCTTGCTATGTCCCCAAGCTAGAGTCCAGAAATACGATCACAGCTCAACGTAGCCTCTAACTCCCAGGATCAAGTAATCCTCCTGCCTTAGCTTCCTGAGTAGCTGGGACCACAGGCACACCCACCAAGCCCAGCTAATTTTTATTTTCTTTTTTTATTTTCTTTTTTTTGTAGAGACAGGGTCTTTCTATGTTGCCAGGCTGGTCTCGAACTCCTGGCCTCAAGCAATCCTCCCACTTTGTCCTCTCAGAGCACTAGGATTACAGGTAAGAGCCACCATGCCGAGCCTATAACATTCTTTATTAAACTTTTGGTATCTGTAGGATCCGTAATGATATCCCTTCTTTCATTTCTGACATTGGTAATTTGTATCTTTTTTTCTTGATTAGTTTGATCAGAGACTTGTCAATTATATTAATCTTTCCATAGAAGCAACTTTGGCTTCCTTGATTATTTTTCCTATTGCTTTTTTCTTTTCTACTTCATGGACTTCTGCTCTTTAGTGCTTCCATTGGTTTGCTCGAAGGCTTTTGTCTGTTTTTGTTTTCGTTTTTTTGAGACAAAGTCTCGCTCTGTCGCCCAGACTGAAGTGCAATGGCACGATCTCTGCTCACTTCCCAGGTTCAAGTGATTCTCCCACCTCAGCCTCCCGAGTAGCTGGGATTACAGGCATGAACCACCACACCCAGATAATTTTTGTATTCTTAGTAGAGAATACACCAGGGTTTCACCATGGTGGCCAGGCTGGTCTCAAACTCCTGACCTCAAGTGATCCACCTGCCTCGGCTTCCCAAAGTGCTGGGGTTACAGGCATGAGCCACCACACCCAACCCACTTGAAATTTAATTTGTTTCTTGTTCTAGTTTCTAGCAGTGGAAGCATAGATCATTGATTTCCTTTTTTAATATAAGCATTTAATGCTGTAAATTTTCCCTTAAACATTGTTCTAGCTGTATCACACAAAGTTCATATGTTCTGTCCAGACATGTTATAAGAAGTTCGTATAGTTTATTTTGGTGCAAAACACTTTGAAACTCCCATGTAGCTTATTCATAACACGGATTTTCTATGGAGTTGTTTAAGACCCCCAGAACCCCATGTTACAATCCCATTTTAATGTTTTAGTCATCTATTGATATGCGACAAACATTGTAACACTTAGTGTCTGTAAAGCATTATGCTAGTCTGGTCAGAGAGATGGCTGTTAATCAAACTATCACATAAATAAATATAAGCTGCTGTGAGGTGGGGGTAAGGAGGATGCAGCCTCTGGAGGCTGAGGAAGAGCTAGAGCAGCGCAGACTAACTGTATGGCAGCAGGACAGGCGAGCACAGAGCCCTTGGCAGAAGCAGGGCCTTCGAGGGGTTGCACAAGGAAGAGGAGGGGGCTTCTGGGCCTGTGGTGAAGCTGGAGGGGTCAGCAGTGGCCAGCCTATGCAGGTCTCTGCAAGTCAGGTAGGGAAAGTTGGTATGGGCCAGGTGCAGTGGCTCACACCTGTAATCCCAGCACTTTGGGAGGCTAAGGCAAGAGGATTGCTTGGGGTCAGGAGTTAGAGACCAGCCTGGGTAACACAGCATGACCCCATTTCTACTGAGAAATACAAACAATACCCAGCCTGCTGGCACACACCTGTGTGTGGTCCTGGCTACTCAGGAGGCTAAGGCAGGAGGATCACTTGAGCCCTGGAGGTCGAGGCAGCAGTGAGGTGTGATGGTGCCACTGCACTCCAGCGTGGGTGACAGAGCAAGACTCTGTCTCAAAAGAAAGAATAAGAAGAAGTAAAAAAAGAAGTTGGTGTTAATATAAAGAATAATAGGCAATATTTGAAGAGTTTGAAGCAGGATGATGCAACGGCATATGTGTTTTGGAAAGATCACTTGGCTTCCCTCCATAGAGACAGAGGTGCCAGAGCACATGTGGGTAAAGTAATTAGAAGCCACTTAGGCTGGGCAAGGCGGCTCACACCTGTAATCCCAGCACTTTGGGAGGCCAGGGAGGGCGGATCATGAGGTCAGGAGATCGAGACCATCCTGGCTAGGATGGTGAAACCCTGTCTTAAAAAAAAAAAGCAGCCACTTTTTTATTTTATATTTTATTTTATTTGAGATGGAGTCTCTCTCCTGCCAGGCTGGAGTGCAGTGGTGTGATCTCAGCTCACCGCAACCTCCGCCTCCCAGGTTCGAGCAGTTCTCCTGCCTCAGCCTCCTGAGTAGCTGGGATTACAGGTGCGCACCACCACGTCAGGCTAATTTTTGTGGTTTTTTTTTTTTTGAGATGGAGTTTTTGCCCTTGTCACCCACGCAGGAGTGCAATGGTACAATCTCGGCTCTCTGCAACCTCTGCCTCCTGGGTTTAAGCAATTCTCCTGCCTCAGCCTCCCTAGTAGCTAAAATTATAGGTGTCCACCACCATGCCTGGCTAATTTGTGTGTGTGTGTGTATTTTTAGTGGTCACAGTGTCTCCCCATATCGGTCAGGCTGGTCTCAAACTCCTGATCTTAGGTGATCCACCCGCCTCAGCCTCCCAAAGTGCTGGGATTCCAGGCGTGAGCCTTGGCGCCCGGCCAGAAGCCATTTAATCATGTAGGCAATGAGGTGGATTCAGAAGCTGGCGCTGCTCTAGGAAAGTCGACGAGATAAACAGTGTAGAGTGGTCGCATGGACTATCGCAGGGGCAGACTAGATTTGGGGGTGAGGGTTTGAGGAACATTAGGTTTCTGGTTTGTGTAATTAAGTGGATGATGAGATAAGAACACTGCAAGAGGACTTCCTTTTTCCTGTGGTTGTGTGTGTGCAGATTTTCTTGGTTGTTGTTAAGGCAGTGAAGATGTGCAAACAGGAAGAATCTCATTTTTTTGACCTAATGCCTTCATTCGAGTTAGTTATGTGCGTATTTCCTCAATTAGCTTCTGAGCTCTGAGTCCAGGAAACGCTTTCTACTTTCAAATATAACCCCAGAGCTTAGCTCATAGGTTCGTTTGTTTAATAGCATGGCTTTCCTCAAATTAAAAAGCAAGGAAAAAAGGTTTTAAACAAAATTAAGCACAGCAACATTTAAAAAAAAACAAACACTTTCAATATCAGTAAGACACAGTACAAGATTCAAGGAAATACATGTAGAGGCATTACCAGCATTTTTGCTGGCTGAGCACTGTGGCTCACGCCTGTAATCCCAGCACTTTGGGAGGCCAAAGCGCGCGGATCACAAGGTCAGGAGTTTGAGACCAGCCTGACCAACATGGCGAAATCCTGTCTCTACTAAAAATACAAAGTTTAGCCAGGCACAGTGGTGGGCGCCTGTAATCCCAGCTACTCAGGAGCCTGAGGCAGGAGAATCACTTGAACCCAGGAGGCGGAGGTTGCAGTGAGCCGAAATCATGCCAACCTGGAAACAGAGTAAGACTCCACCTCAAAAAAAAAAAAAAAAATAGTATTTTTGCTAACTTGGACTATCAACGCTTAATCCAACCTTGACCTTATTTTTCAACTATATAATAAAGGCTTAAAAATATTCAGAATCTCTATTCTAAAGTCAGAACTAATTTTTAGAATTTGAAAAAAAGTTTTCTTATTGTGTGTTTTGCTTTTTTTTTTGGTCTTGTTGCCCAGGCTGGAGTGCAATGGCATGATCTCAGCTCACTGCAACCTCTACCTCCGGGTTCAAGCAATTCTCGAGCCTCAGCCTCCCAAGTAGCTGAAATTACAGACGTGTGCCACCATGCCCAGCTGTTTTTCTATTTTTAGTAAAGATGGAGTTTGACCACATTGGCCAGGCTGCTCTCAAACTCCTGACCTCAAGTGCTTCACCTGCCTCAGCCTCTCGAAGTGATGGGATTACAGGTATGAGCCACCAGGCCTGGCTGCTTGTTTGTTTTTTTAAGAGACAGGGTCTCACTATGTTGTTCAGGCTGGTCTCAAACTCCTGGCCTCAACTCCTCCTCCTGCCTCGGCCTCCCAAAGTGCTGGGATGGGATCACAGGCATGAGCCGCTGTGCCCGGCTAATATGTTGTGTTTTAATTTTCGTTCAATTCCACTATGTTGTAATTTCCATTGCTGTTAGCCATTCCTGTGTGTCCCTGGGCAGACAAGAGAAGCAGGGGCTGGGGGACACACAGGAGGGGACTCTGGGATTTTGTGCTGCCCCAGGCCAATCCCCAGAGAATGCTACAAGAGAGAGTCTGCGCCAGGGTTCCCAGGGCCTCCTAAATGCCTTCCCAGCACAGACTCTCAGGCCATCCTACCTGGGGTGGCATTAGGGCTGCCACCTTCCTCATGCTGGGCCCCCTTAGCACCCAGGGGCCACTTCACCCATGCTCTAAGGGGAACGGCTGCTTCCCTGGATGGCTCTGGGTCCGCTGGCCTCACTGCTGGCCAGGGACAGTGGGTTAGCACCTCCTAGTCTTGATGTCCCTGTGCTCACTTTGGAGTAGGGAGCGCTGGGATTCCTTATCCAAGGTCACCCAGCCAGGAGGGTCTGGTGTCAGAGCAGAAGTGGGAGAGGCATCTTCCGGAGGCATCTGCAGCGCTCGGGGAAGGCCTGCTACAGGAAGCAATGGCACAGGGAGCCAGGCTGGGGTGCCTGGTGCCAGTATCACCCCATTCCATTCACTCTTGCTTTCCTTATGGAACCTAGGCAGGCATCTGTGTTTCGGAGCCAAGAGGCAAGGACACGTTTGAGAAGAACTGCCAGGTCCTGAACCACAGCTTCACCCCATAGCCAGATTCAACCCTGGCATGGGAGCTGGCTCTGCTTATGGGCCAAGGCAGGAAGGGGGATGACCCTGCCACCTACCACCGTGCTCACCTTGGACCCTTCTTGTTACTCCTGAGATGAAAAAGGGGAGTGGGGGAGAGAGTCCGGCAGGGTTCCCAGGGCCTGACTCAGGCACTGAGATGGTAGGGAGGTGGGTACCACTGCCAGGAGGCTCTGCCCCACCCTGCCCCGCCCTGCGGGAATGTGCCTTTTCCGTGAGTCCCCGCCTGCCACAGGTGCCTGCCCTGGGCCCTTGGCTGGGGACAGTGGCTGGCAGGGCCCCAGCTGAGTGCCTTTGCCGCCCCGCCACCCCCACAGACAGGGCCCCTGGCGCAGCAACCTGCCCCAGCCCCTTTGTGCAGACGGCTCCCAAGCTTCCCAGAACTTGCCGGTGGCGTTGTGTTCTTGTGCCAAATTAGCCACCCTTAACTCAAGAGCCCGCCGCCCAAGCCCGCGGCAGGAGCTGACTCACTCACTCCAGACCACTCAAAACGCACAGCCCCCCATAAGGCCTCGCTCTGCCGAGGGCCTGGCTGCAGCAGGAGCTCATTGGAGGGGGCTTTGGGCGGAGGGTGGGCGCTCCCACCATTTAAGGAGGCAGCTGTGCCCACAGCTTCACTCCAGCTCTGGGAGGGCGGCTCAGTCGTTCTGCCCTAAGAGCAGCCCCAGGTAAGAGGAGACGGTGGCAGGTCTAACCCTCAGGCTGTCCAAGTCAGGCCCCAGGAGGGACGAAGCCTCAGTCTCCCTCCTGAGTCTTCCTGTCGGCCTCTCTGGGTGGCTTGAGCAAGGCGAACACAGGGGGCTTAAGCCCTGGGGGAAACCGAGGCGGCTGCAGGTCCCAGGGCACAGCCCGCACAGCCCCGGCTGGGTGTTGCTGATGAACGCCTTGGGCAGTCCCCTGATCCTACAGGACACTGGTAAATGTAAACTAGGCCTCCGCATTCCCACCAAGCCCCCACCAGGAGTGATCCCCGAGCAGAGACAAAGAAGCCCAGAGAGCCCCCCACTGCATCTCCCCAACCCAGCCCACCTCACAGGGTATCCCCCAGCAGCCTGACTCATGGCACTGTCTCCTGGTGCTCCTGCTGAGACCCATGCTGTCCCCAACCCTGAGACCCCCCAGTGTCACTGACAGACAGGCAGAAGGCCTACTGATTGGGGCCAGTGCACTGCTGGGGTGAAAATCTAAGAAGGCAGGTGTAGGGGCCCTCGGATGAGTTCTGCCCGGGCTCAGGCCCTACTCCACTGCTCTCCGGCTGTGTGACCTCGGGCAAGCCTCTGACCCTCTCTGAGCCTGTGTTCCTCATCCATTACCTGGGAAGAATCATGCCTGCATCACTGCATCTGAAGGTTCAGCCTGTGGACACCTGCTGAACAACTGAACAAAGAAATGAATGAGCGTGTGAATGGATGAATGAAAAATGCACGTGTGAGTGACTGAGTGAGTGAGTGAGTGAGTGGATGCCTGCTGACAACACTCTCAATGCTGCATGCCATGGGACCGGTGTTTTCAGCTTCTTGGGAAGCTCCTTGGGGAAGGGACCCAGATGGGGGCGCTGCTGTGCAAATGAGAGTCCAGAGACAGTGGCCTGGACCAGCATGGTCTCCAGCCCTGCGACTGCTGCCTTCTCCAGCACAGTGGCCTCACCTGTTAGCCCCAAACATTGACTCCTGGCTCACTGAACAGCAGAAAGGTGGTAAAAGTCAAGTTCTCTGCCAAGGAAGCCTGGTCTGCGGCGGTATCACCTCTCTACCCACCACAATGGTCCTATAAACTCTGCTAAAGTCTGTTTTGGACCAACGATGGTGGCTCACACCTGTGGTCCCAGTGCTTTGAGATGCTGAGGCAGGAGGATGACTTGAGCCCAGAAGTTTGAGACCAGCATGGGCAGCATGGTAGGAATCCTGTCTCTACCAAAAAAAAAAAATTAATTAGCTGGGTACAGTGGCTCACACCTGTGGTCCCAGCTACTTGGGAGGCTGAGGCAGGAGGATCTCTTGAGCCTGGGAAGTTGAGGTGGCAGTGAGCTATGATTGTGCCACTGCACTCCAGCCTGGCTGACAGAGTGAGACCCTGTCTCAAAAATACAATAAAATCTGTGTTTTATTAAATTAAAAAGTTATACATAAGGGAAGTCCCAGCCACCCACTTTGGGGGACACCTCCCAAGGGAAGATAGCACCCTCAGACTTCAAGCCCTGGAGCCAGGGCCCCGCCTGGTGGATGCCTGCCTGAAGCTGGAAGCCCCACTCTGAGGGACAGGAGGACAGCAGTCGGCCTTGGGAAGAGGTGGGAGAAGGACTTCAAGCAGTGTCCTGCTTCCAGCCACTCCGAGAATGGGGACGTCTGGGCCGTGCTCCACACCCAGAACCTGGCCCCAAAGAGCCGCCCGACAGGAGCCGGCCAGTGGACTGAGGGCCAATGGCAGCGAGGATGGAAGTCATCCGAGGCCTGGAAACCTGCCGGGCCCGTGGTCAGTCCTGAAGGCTCCCGGGGTCTCCACAGTTGGGGAGTGGGGCGAGAGCAGTGGCTTGGAGTTGAACTGACTGAAATTCTGCCCTGGAACATGCAGTTCCTTCTCTGCCACGAGCCTCTCCATGCTGGGCGCTATGCCAGCCTCTTCATAGGTAAAGGGGAGACCCCCAATCCGCCAGCAGCTTTGTCGCCAGGACCCAGCCTCCGCACTCAGAGAGGCCTCAGCATTTACTGTGGGGACACACAGGCACTGGAATCAGGGCCCAGAGCTGCACCATCCAGCATGGAGCTGCCAGCCACGTTGGCCCCGAGTGTCCACAGGTGGCCGGGCCTTAAGGGGACCCTGTGTATATGAAATACAGCCCCGTCCCAAAGACTCAGCAAGAAAATGACTGCAGGAGGCATTTCTCTGTGCTGATGACCTGTGGAGAGGACCACATTTGGGGCATGTTGAGTTCAAAGCTCATTATTGAAACTAATGGCACCTGTCCGGTTTCCTTTTGTACGAGGCTATTACAAAATTGAAACTTTGCTGTGTGGCTCACACTCATCCTGGTTCCTGTACAGCACTGGTCTGGAACCCAGCTGCAGGGAGGCGGGAGGGGGATGGTGGGACGGAGAGGCACGGGGCCTTGGGACACACTTGAGAGGGCACTGGCCACAGGGAGCCCAGCAGGGGGGCGCATGGTTTCGAGGAGGAGCCCCCATCCCACTCTGCTCAGTGCCCTGGGCCTCACCCCTGGCCTCTGGTCTCCCTGCTCCAGGCTTGGCCTTCCTGGTCTCTGAGCAAGGCCTTCGGGTCCTGCGCCCACCGCGTGCCTGGGCTGGGGAGACTGCCTTAAGCCCTGCTTTGCACTGAGGGAAGGAGGGAGAGAACAGAAGAGCCCATCCTCCCATGACAGGGCCCCCTCGGCCACCCCACCAGCCCCTGCTTCGAGACCAGCAGCGCACCCCCCTCAGCTGCCACCCACTTCAGACAGCCCGGGAAAATGAATTAGCAATTAGCTCTCCCTCCCAGCCCCGCACACCGCCGGATGCCTGCTCCCTCCCCGCCTTTTCCTCCCTCCCTGCTCTCCTTTCCCTCCCTCCCTCCCTCCCTCTTCCTCTTCCTCTCCCTCTCTCTGCCTCCTCCTCCCTCTCTCTCTCTTTCTCCCGACCTCCTCCTCCCCTCTCAGTTTCTGCCCCTCTCCCTCTCTGTCCTCTCATCCCACTCTGCCTGTCCACTCTCCCTCTGTCTCTCCCTCTGTGTCTGTCTCTGTGTGTGTCTCTCCCTGTCATCTGGGCCCGGCGGTCTGCCCCATCTCTGTGCCTCCACTCTCCCTCCCTCCACCCCACACCGCAGCCCCTAATAGCTCCGGCAGAGCAGGCAGCAGAGCCTCCGCCTCAGTAACAAATCTTCCATATTACTCCCTCTCCTTTATTTACACGGGGCACACAGTAGCAATTCAATCTGAAAAAGTGCCGTGTTTTTGGAGGCGTGCAGCCCAAGAAATTGATGTTTGTGTTAATCAATCTTGTAGAAGCCTGCGGGGTTCAGAGAGGTGTGACGCAGAGATTTCTTCTATTGATTAACTGAATTCCGGGCAGGGGGGATGGGGAGAAGATCAAATCCCCCAGTACCTGGATGCTCTGGAGATAGGTCAGACCCCCTGCCAACTCCTGCCCAGCCTAAGGTGTGGGGGGTCCCCTGGGCTCTGAGCCCCCATAATGTCCTCTTAGCTCAGCCTCAAGCCCGGCTGGGGGTCAGGACTCCAGCTCCAAGGCCAGCTCTGGCTGGCTCAAGGGAGACTTTGAGGTCACCCCTCTCCTGTCTGGAAAGGCTGGAGACAACCCTGTCTCTAGCCCCCTCCCATTGCCCATCTGGCAGTTCAGAAGCTCTGGGCCTTTATCTTGAGGACTCTGTGCAGCCCCACAGCCAGTGTGTCCCGAGGCTGGGGACATGAGCAGCAGCGTGTGGGCTCAGAGCCCCTTCCCGGCTTCCCCGAGCCTCCGCCCTGCCCCTCTGTGGAAAGTGGCGCTGGCTGGGAGCCGCCCGTCTGCTGGCTTGGCCAGGGGAAATGAGGCAGCCATGTGGGTATGGGAGCCAGCGTGTCCTCCTAGACGGCCACCTGCACTCCCATAATCCAAGACTCAGACTCTGTGGATGGCTAGAGGAGCGTCTGTGACCTCCTCCCTGGGCACCTGGGAGGACAAGGAGGCGGCAAGCAAGGAGCTGTGGACCCACAGGAGGGACGAACAACACGTGGTGTCAGAAGGCTCTGCATTTGGATGGCGACCTCGGAAAGTGACGCTGCCATTCATGGTTCTCAGTAAGGGGGTGGGCCAGACAGTGTTCATCAAACCCATTTTATGGACAGGAACACTGAGGCTCTGATGCGGGATCACCCAGCTGGAGAAGGACAGAGCCAGGACTTGCAACCAGGCATCAGGACCCCAGGGTGGGTCCTCCCTTCTGAGTTTCCTGGTCCTCAGGAGTCCAAGGACCTGGGCCTGGCCATCATCCTCGTCACCCAGGGAAGTTTGGGAGGTACAAGGTGGACTGGCTCCAGACCGGGTCTGCCATCTGAACACTCTCCAGATGGCTGAAGTTTTGCACATTTGGGGAGGAGGGCAGTGCCCAACAGGTGCATCAGGAGAACCATGAAATCACTCCTCCCTCTCCAGGAGAGAGCCTCGGAGCCATCTTCCAGAAGGCAGTGATGTTGAAGCTTCCAGAAGGCAGTGATGTTGAAACAACCCGAACTAAGGCGTCCCTCTCCTGTCCTATGGCATCGTCACCACCGACTGACCACCTGCTGGACACCAGCAACCGTGCTCTCAATATCTGTGACCCTATCCCAGAAGCACTGTGCCTCCCATGGAGGCAAAAGCTGTGAATAAGGACTGACCTCATCTTTGTTTTTTTTTTTTTTTTAGATGGAGTTTCATTCTTTTGCCCAGGCTGGAGTGCAGTGGTGTGATCTCAGCTCACTGCAACCTCTGCCTTCCAGTTTCAAGCGATTCTTCTGCGTCAGCCTCCCGAATAGCTGGGACTACAGGTGCCCACCACCACGCTGGGCTAATTTTTGTATTTTTAGTAAAGACAGGGTTTCACTATATTGGCCAGGCTGGTCTTGAACTCCTGACCTCGTGATCTGCCTGCCTCGGCCTCCCCAAGTGCTGGGATTACAGGCGTGAGCCACCGCGCCTGGCCAAACCAATCTCATCTCAATAGTGAGAAGTCGGGGGTTCCTCCACCGATCTCATCTCAATAGTGAGAAGTCGGGGTTCCTCCACAGGCAGTGGTGGCTTTCTTAGGATGCTGAGAGATGGCAGGAGTGGCATCTCCCTGTTTCTCCCGCAGTCCTGTGATGGTGGGACAGAAAGCACTGGGGCAGGAGCAGAAGGGATTCCCGCCCTGCCTGGGCCTCTGGCTCCCAGGCAGGCTCTGGGGGTCAGGCACATTGGCCCCACTACCAGACCTCAGCAGTGGCCACCACCCAGGACATTGTGACAGGAAGCAGGTTTCTGGCACCATCGGGTGTGGCCTTGTCCAGAGCAAGCATGACCTCCATGCCCCTTGATGGAGTGTGCTGGAAAAGTTTCGAGGAGCCCCTGGCTTGGCTGGTTTTGTTTAGGGGGCGGTGCTAGGCCATGGTGAGGGACAGACATGGGGATCCAGTGTCCTGTCTGCCCTGAACACTCGTGGGCTGCTGCCATGGGCCAGCTCCCCTCATGCTCACTGTGACCCCCTCAGAGGGACTTTCCCGTGACACCACAGAGCTGTGCCCTCAGCGAGGCGCCCAGCCCCTTGGCCCTGAAAGGAAGTGGATGTTTAAGGACGGGCTTTTTAAAACTACTAATTGGGTGACTCTTGCCCCATTTCCTTGCACAATCTCACACACGCACTTGCATATCTTGCCGATTTTCCAACAAACAGATCGTCATTTGTGTTACTACAGCAGAATGTCCTGTTTAGGCCGACGTGAGCCATCAGGGCTGACCCTGAACCGTCCTACCACGAAACGCACTTTCAGGAAGAGTTCATTGGACCAATACGTAACCCTCAGCCGGAAGGCCCCCGAGAGCGCCGAGCAGAGCCTCAAAGGGCTCCCACCCCAGCCCCGGCCATGCCGTGACCACGCCTGGCCCGGAGCCACTGTCCCAGCACCCCCTCCCAGGCCTCGCCCTTCAAACCACCCAACACACACACCCTGAGACCATCAAGGAAACAGTGACAGACCGAGGCAAAGCAAAAGGACAAAGGCAGTCCTGGAGAAACATTTATAACCCACACAGTTGAAAAAGATTTTACATTATTACCACAAAGAGCTCCTGCCAATGCACTTAAAAAAGAGGGCGAGGCCAGGCCCGGTGGCTCACACCTGGAATCCTAGCACCTTAGGAGGCCCACACAGGCAGATTGCTTGAGCTCAGGTGTTCAAGACCAGCCTGGGCAGCACGCTGACACCAAATCTTTACTAAAAATAAATAAATAAATAATTAGCTTGGCATGGTGGCGCGCGCCTGTAGTCCCGGCTACTCTGGAGGCTGAGATGGGGGAATCGCTTGAACCCGGGAGGCAGAGGCTCCAGTGAGCTGAGATCAGGCCACTGCACTCCAGCCTGGGTGACAGAACAAGATTCCATCTCCAAAAAAAACAGGGCAAAAAATAGGCAAAGGCCAGGAACACCAGTTCACACAATTACAGCCCACAGGCAGGTCCAATGTGGAACTGCACAAAGTTCCAAATTTAAAAAGTAAGAGGACAGGCTGGGTGCAACGACGCACACCTGTAATCGCAGCACTTGGGAGGCCGAGGCGGGCAGATCACTTGAGGTCAGGAGTTTGAGACCAGCCTGACCAACATGGAGAAACCCCATCTCTACTAAAAACACCAAAAAAAATTAGCCGAGTGCCATGGCATACACCTGTAATCCCAGCTACTCCGGAGGCTGAGGCAGGAGAATCTCTTGAACCCGGGAGGCAGAGGTTGCAGTGGGCCAAGATCCCGTCACCACAGTCCAGCCTGGGTGACAAGAGCTAAACTCCCGTCTCAAAAAAAATTATTAAGACAAAGACATCTCTTTACCTTACTAAATGGGCAATGATTTTGATGTTAATGACATGAAGGGAAAAGGCAGTTTCCTTTCTAGAAGGAAATAGAGTAGCAATGTTTAACCACACACAACACATCCCACACGTGGCAGCCCCGTGGCCCAGGCATTTGACTTCTTGCCTTCCTGAGGAGAGGAATGGATCAGGGTGTTTGTCTGATGTGGTGTTTCTCAGGCAGAGACCTTCAAACAGCTCGTCAGTGGGAGGGGCGCAGCCAGGTGCAGCAGGCAGGTTTTCTCTTGTTTTATAAAATGTAACACTTTGTGGTTGTTTTTTCTCTCTTTTTGTAGAGATGGGGATCTAGCTGTACCGCCCAGGCTCCCATCCCAACCTCAGGAGTAGCTGGGACCACCGGCGCCAGCTACCATGCCCAGCTAATTTTTTTTAATTGTTTTGTAGAGACAGGGTCTCACTATGTGGCCCAGCTGTACTCAAACTCCTGGGCTCAGGGATCCACCTGCCTCAGCCTCCCACAGTGGGGA